TTCCTCGCTAAACCCCCTTGTAAGTGAGTTATGTTTACCCTACTTTAAGTATAACTTATGTTTAAGTTCATTATCGTTATTATGAACCTATAAACAAGATTTATCAGTGATTCAAAGTCGTTATACTGATTGATCTACTTACGTGGATGATGTCTCGGCTGTGATTTAACGAGGTGTTTAAAGTGGGCTTTCCAAACAGTATACTTTGTATACCAAACGGACCCTACATCCGATATGATCCTACCTGGTTGTTCCTTACTTGATAGATCATGAAAGTAGACTTTGAGTTAATGATAAATCTAGACTAATAATTAGTTGCAATAATTAATAGACTAAAATCTAGTAATAATGATACTAGGTTTCGTCGAAGAAAAAGAAAATTGTTAGAAGCGAAGCGTTGCCCGAATTTCGAGTCATCACTTTAACAAGTGAGTGCATAGTTACTTTCATCTTACACATAGATATGAAGTATTTAATATAAATTACTTGCTATATGTGCCTATTATCTGTGTTCCTGATATATGTGCTAGATGAACGATTTATACATGTTTTACTCGATTTAAACTGTATATGTATTTTATACCTATAATTTTGTTGGGAAAAGATGGGTAGATGAAATAGATGATGAAAGATGAAATAAAATGATGAGAGGCCTCGATGTTGAAAGTTGACCCAGTCATCTAGCGGAGTATAATTGACAACCACAGACTATTCTAGACAGTCTAGTGGAACGCTAGCAGGCTCCCAACCTGTAGGTGTTTGTGAACGATGTGTTCACCAGGTGTAATGATTTGATGAAATTAAAGAACTTAATTATTGTGGGTTGAAAACCCTATGTGCTCACCAGACTCCCAAGCCTGACCCACTTAGTTTCTTGTATTACAGGTAGTGGCAAAAGAGCACATGAGTGATGATCTGATGAGAGATCTATGGATTATAGGCCATCAGAATAATAGATTTTTGTAAGGCTTGTACTATATTTCTGTGTATGCTTATGCACTGTATTGACAATGACACCCTAACGATTTTAATATAATGAAAATACATTTCTTCGGAAATGCTTTGATAATATACTTATCATATTTTTGGGAACAAATTCCGGAATATTATTCTTAAAAAGGATACTCTGATTTTAAATAAAGCATAAACAAATCAGTCTTTTCTGGCCGTGAAATTGGGGATGTCACAGAACTTTTTAACCGAAAACAAAACAAAACCGGAACCAGAACCGGTTGTAACCGATTAATGGTATTCGCTTCCCTTCCCCCAGTCCATCATTTTTGGTTTTCGGTTCTCTCGGTTTCGGTCCAGTTCAGACCGGTTCCGAACACCTTCTTATATATCACATTTTCTAGTAGAATCGAACTAGTTGGAACCGGTTAGTGGTATTCGGTTCAGTTATCGGTTCCCCATTTACTCCTTAATCGGTTTTCAGTTCCTTCGGATCTGGTCCGATTCGGGATCTCTACTTCAAAATATGGTCTAAGCTAGCATACTTGACAAATATAATTTCAAGATTATTGAAATGATGAGAAATTTTGTGATTTTTGGAAACATGCTTATCTAATACATCACTCTAATCCTTAATGATTTTGTGTGGAAAAAAGAATGCAACATAATTTCTCCTATGTCGAGGTAGAACATCCTTGGAATCCATCAATCTTCCTATTTTCTTGGTAAGAGTGGAAGAATTGATAGCATATGGCAGTGTTATTTGCACGGTGGGTACGACCGCTACAACATGTTTAACCGGGACATGGCTTCACACATGGATATGTATCCTTGCAGGCACATTTACAACATATATTTGATCTCGTGACATTTTCTAAGTTATTGTATACGTATGGTAGCTGATTGGCAACATTTTTTAGACTTAGAAGTCATTGTACTTCCTTATCACTATGTGTAGTCAGGGGATCCATATGAGACAAATTGGGTACATGTCATGTTATTTTACATCGTTCTTATGAACATTAATGTGAAAATCACTAAATATCATATAATGGAGATGGATCATAAGTAAGATATTCCCTTTTGTTTTTGAGGTCCAAAATTCAAACAATTTGGAGGTTTAATTAGAACATTGACCAAGCACCCAAATACGTGTAAATGCAAGACACCAAACTAGTTAATAACTGGTAAGTATAAAGTGGTTAGGTGGTCATGGGCCTAAAACGGACAAATGCAGCCACATGCAATATCACATAACCCCATATAGAAACGGGAAGTTTGGTACACACAACCAAAGTTCTCACAACTATTTGTATTCGTTTAATAAATGCTTCTACATGACCATTATGGGAATGAGCATAAGCTACAAAGTGTTCAAGATTAATTCCCAAGGTTATGATAGTCATCAAACGTTATTTATGTTAACTTTACGACATTACCACTTCTAATTGAATTTATCAGATAATCCAAATGATGAACCCTCAATTTAATGAACTTGCTAGAAGTTTAGGAAATACTGCATTTCTTGTGAACAAAAAATCTACATTTTTGTCAATTCATCAACCAATACCATGAAATATTCTATTGACTCGCATGTTAGTTGGGTAGGTCCACAGACATCCCCTTGAATTCTATCAAGAAAATAGGAAAACGCTTTTGTAGGTTTTACATGACGTAGTTTGAGATGTGTCTTCCCAATCGAGCATGCTTAACATATGTTTTTTGGTTTAATCACATTTTTTTCCTCTAAGATTAGGCCCATGAGATTGTAATGTGTTCATTGTTCGAAGCATGGTATTTTGACGCAGATGTCCCAGCCGATCATGCCATAACTTTGTAAGTGCCCTTATCAACGGGTACTTAGCAAATTATTAAATTGCTTTCAATGTTTTAGATCGTGGTAACATATAAACCATTTGAATATATATATATATATATATATATATATATATATATATATATATATATATATATATATAAGGTGAGGTTCAATAGATAACCATAATTAACAAAGGAACCAATTTTTTTTTTCAACTTTTATAACTTATTTTTTATCAAAAAAAAAAACTAAAAATACAGAAATTCATAACTTTTTATCCTTTTTCCAATGATATCAAATTCGAATTTATTTTCTTTACGTCAAATTCACAATGTGAATCTTTGAAAATTCACAATGTGAATCCGGATTCACACGGTGAATCCGAAAAATATTTTTCATGTTAATATATGAATTTAGATATTTTTAGATTTTTTTTTCGATAAAGAATAAGCTCTAGAAATTGAAAAAAAGATTTGGTTCCTTGAAAAACTAATAATTATGGTTCTCTATTGAACTTTTTCATATATATATATATATATATATATATATATATATATATATATATATATATATATATATATATATATATATATATAATGAACTAAAAACCAAGAATTTTGATATATATATTTCTTATAATTATTATCTACCATGTTAATATTCCTTTTCGAAAATTAAATATTTTGGAAGTTGCCATCAAACAGAATTTATTACATAAAACTAAAAGAAATTTGTTTGTTTGTTTTTTTTTTTTTTTTTGTTTTTTGTTTTTTTGTTTTTTGTTTTTACTGTAATGGTATTTGTAGGAGGTCATTTTGTATTTTTACATTTTTGACGTAAATTTTTAGATTTTGTTATGATTTTAGTTCAGCATTTTTTTTTCTTTTTTTTTTTACAAATTCGATAAGCCTAAAACTTTTTCTTTACAAATATATTTTTTTAAAGATGTCTTTACATTTTTTTTAATATTAAACGCTTTCAAAAATTCTTTTACAACTTTGTAAAAAAAAATTATAATTTTTTTAAACTTTTTTATATCTATTATTACACCTTTTACAAAATTTTTTGTTATTTATTATTTTTTTACGTTTGTAAAATTTTTTTACAACTTATTATAGAACATTTTTAAGCTTTTATCACAACATTTTAAAAACTTTCTTACGACCCCTTTTTACAACTTTTACAATTTAGTTTACAAAATTTTTAATTTGTTTCACTTTGATAAAACTTTTGAATTATCAATTTATAACTTCTCATTTTATAAGTTTCGATCTGTGTTATTTAGCTCGTTTGTTGTATTATTTTTTATTTGCATAATTTTTCTTATAAGATGTGTAACAAAGTTGGTTTTATTAGTTTCAATCTATTTTTTGTATCGGTTGTTTTTATAAGTTTCGACTTAATTTTCTGTCTTGGTTGGTTCTATGTATTTCTATTTATTGTACGTGTTTGTTGTAAAACAAGTTTAAAAACCATTGTTGAAAAAATTTAAAAAAATAAAAAAAAAACTTTTAAAACTGTTAAAAAAGGTTATGTAAGAAGTTGTAAAAAAAATATAAAAACGGCCTTAATTTTTTTTTTTTAAAAAATGTTTTAAGAAAACTAACCAACTTAAAGACACCAAGAATAATTTATTTTTAACAAACGGTGTTAATCATATCTAATAAATAGTTATTAAAATTAAAAAAAAAAGTTAGACACAAATCAGTCTTGGTTGTGAAATTGAATTGCGAATCGATTTAATTTGCAACAGGTTGCGAGTATTCTTATGTGAAACCTTTTATTTTCATTTTCATTTTTTATGTTTTGTACATACCAACAGGTTGGCTATGCCTCTTTATTGTCTCTTATATTCATTCAAGAATCGACAACATGAAGAATAACGATTTCTACAGAAAATGTCAAATATTAATTTATTATTGATAACTTGTACTATAAACTATAAATAAACAATAAAGTTATTTTGTTCAATTTTTACCAAAACAATCTAATCATATTTATTAAAATATAAATAGACAATAAATGATTTTTCTTCAATTTCAAGTTGCCTTTCTCTTTACACAATTGCCTCGCAAACCTCCCCAAAACCGCCCCACAGTGGGGCCCACACACAACGCGCCATTTGCCACGTGTCATTTCATACACGGTATCCTTCCCCCTTAGCGCAAATTTAAATACATGCCATATTCATGGCTAACTTGCATCAAAGCTTTAACCAAAATAAACATAAATGCAGACTTCTTCCTTCTTCAACCCGCTACCACTTCCCGGAGCTTGTTTCTCCGGCGCACTATCCAAAGGGACTGTTATCAATCATCATAATCGGCTGATCATAACAATGGCATTCAAGAAAGATGGGCACAATGGGAAGACGGTGGATGAGAACATGATTGTATTAAGAGAGAGAATTCGGAAGTTGAAGGCGGAGATGGAGATGGAATCCGGTGGTGGTGGTGGTGATCGGTTGCCGGATAATTGGATGGAGTGGGAGAAGAAGTATACGTACAGCGGTGGGTACCATTCGGATATTTATGAAGGGATAGCGATGTTACAGCGGTTTTTAATGGAGACCAGGCCGAGCGTGGCGTTGGGACTGGTGGCAGGTCTTGCATTTAGTGGTTCGACGGTGGCGATGGAGGTTTTATGGTGGTTGATGAACTCGTTTCTTGGAAATTAGAACGATCAGAGATTCTGTGTATTTGTTTCCGGCGGAGCAAAAGCGTCAGTGGTGTCATGGCGTGTACATAATATATTTGTATATTTTATTTTAGGTTTGTATAAAGAAATTAGAATAGAACAGGTTTCTACCTTGTCTGATATATACGACGATTAATTATTGAATTATTGAATAATGTATATTGAGAAATGATTTTAAATGTAATTTCGAAGTTTATGCATATAAATTATTGGAAATATATAGACGACTTTTCCAAATCACATTCACCTAACCAAATTTAGATGTAATTTCGAAGTTTATGCAAATAAATTATTGAAAATATATTATTAAACTAGACTAACATGAGTAACGTAAAGGAATTTGTAATTTGTATCTTATCCTTACAAATCTTTTAACTTCAAGATCCACCAAATTGTTAACACCTTAAATGCTTGGTGATTAATTTTATCTAATTAAAAGATGGAGGACAAACACAAGTGAAACCTATATATACGATCTAGAGTATAAATAAAACAACAAATGGGACTAAACTATCTCACTACACACGTTAATATTTGAATCAGCAATTTGTGCAAACTCTAAACTGTCTCACTCACACACGGTATGTGAAACGAAGAGACTAAACTAATCAAGACGTTTGCACATAACCACCGATATGGGACAAGATGTATGTGTCTATGTGATATGTACTCCACGTGCTTCTATCTTCTAATCCATGACCTTTCCGCTATAGCCCTTTAGTCCTTGAACTTTACACGAACAACAACTTTGCTCCTTTACATCTAGGGGTGTCAAAATATTACACAACATGACAAAAATACTCGGTACGAAACGAAATTGAATTTTGAGTTCATGTTCGTTTCATGGTTGTGTCGCGTATTATGAACATGAAGTCGGTAGTGTTTGTATTGAAAGTATGACACAAAATTAACATGATTGTAGCACAATGTGGTATGAAATTAAATCGACATTCACACAAAATAAAATGATATTAACACAAAAAACCCGAATTCAAACCCTATCAAATAGTATACAAAACTATTCAATTTAATTTTTTTAGCAAAACTGGTCTATATAGTTATCAAAAAACTGTAGTTTTTGTCCAAAAAAGTTTTGACTTATACCAAATTACCAGTGGTCTAGTTTAAGATCTTTTTGATGATTTTGGTTTTTTTGGTTGTCATGTTTTTGTAGTTTTTGTGAACACCTAGCCAGAAAGGGCTAATATGCCTTTCAAATTATTTATTATTTATTTTCTCATTCTTTTAATCTAAAAAAAATAAAAAGAAAACCCCACCCTTAAAGACATATAAATTTAATGATAGTTTTTAGGAAAATCTTCAAAAAAGTTCTAATATTTTACCTTAATTTACGAAAAACCATGAATTATCAGTAAAAATGACGATTTGACCAATTTTTCCGGGTTTACCGGTTTCATTACTTACCTGGTTCCATTAAAGTCTCATTATTTTACCCTAATTTACAAATAAGTCCCAAACTAAAATTTAGTGATGATTTGACTATTTTCTCCATGTAACATATATTTTACCAGTTTCATTGTTGACTTTGACGTCTAATCATTAAATGAGCTAATAAGATGGATACGATGAGTTATATAATGCTATCTTACCGTAAAATTTGATATCCATCTTATCGGCTCATTTATGACTATGTATCCAAATCAACAATGGAACCGTTAAATGTGTGTTTCCTGGAAAAAAAAAAGGGTAGGAAATGACTTGATGTATGATGAGATGGATATACGAGGTTACATAAGATTAGATAGACAATTTGAAATTTCTTATAAACTTAAAAAATGACGAAGTTGTTGACAGTTTATGTAATTATTTTGGGAAAGAGGCCAAAGGACAGTTTATGTAATTATTGCAGACTTCGTTGGATGCATTTTATATTCCAAAAATATACAATACATTAGGATATCAAGTTTTATCGTAAACATAACATTATATATTCTAACATATCCATCTCATCAGCCCATTTAATGACTAGGCGTCCAGGTCAGCAACGAAACCGATTAAATGTATGTTACTAAGAGAAAAGGTCAAAGCATCACTAAATTTTAGTTTGAAACTTATTCGTAAATTAGGGTCAAATAATGAGACTTTAATGGAACCAGGTAAGTGATGAACCAGGTAAACCGGAAAAACTAGGTCAAATCGTTATTTTTACCGGCAATTCATGTTTTTTCATAAAACAAATTTTAGTTTGAGATTTTTTCGTAAATTAGGATAAAATATTATGATTTTTCTGAAGATTTCCTTAATTTTTAGGCGGAGTTGTGAAACATGTCCATATTTTTCATGCAAATCATCAAAGTCCTCCCGCAAAACTCACTTCTTTATGAAACCTAAAATGTGTTTAGTTAATTACATACCAAAAAGCTTCTAATCTAACGATATCAGGTGTTGTCCTTACTCATTGAGATCGATGGTTCAAGTCCCATCGTAGATATAAGTGGAATTAAATAGTAGTTTAGAAATAGATTAAATTTTCCGTTAAAAAAAAAGAGTAAATTACTGAAATCGTCCCTATGGTTTGGTTAAAATTACGTGTTTGGTCCCTAACTTTTGTTTTGCACTCGGACCGTCCTTATAGTATGTTTTTGTTGCGGATTTGATCCCTACTATACCTAAAAAGACTAAATTACCCTTACTAATTCTTTTCTTTAATTAGTTTATTGGCTTTTATTATTTATAAAATAGAAAAAGTAATAAGTTTATGACCCACCCCTCACATTTATCTCCTGAACTTCAAGTAGATCCCCTCCATCGTGTTTTACAGCCATCATATCCTTCCGGTGAAAATCTCTTCATCAGAACCACCGATCACTGATTCTTTCTCCCACAAACGTGTAATCTTGCTAAAACCCTAGAATCAAATGCTAGGGTCCTCTATCATAGCTCCACCTCTTCTCCCTAACCCCCCGATTGCATCTGGTTTCATCCCCAATTCCGACTAGAATAGGTTTGAGGACGCTAAACTATCACTGGCGTACCTCTTCGCCACCACTGCCAAAATAGTCGAGCAACGATCAGTGATTCTTTCTCCGACGAATGCGTAATCCTGCTAAAACCCTAGAACTAGAGGCTCAGGTCCTCTACCATAGCTCGACCTCTTCTCCCTAACCCTCGATTGCATCTGGTTTCATCCCCAATTCCGACTAGAATGAGATTGAGGATGCTAAACCATCACCAACGTACCTCTTCGCCACCACTGCCAAAATAGTCGAGGATATCTACAACGAGAACGAACCATCACCAGTTGCATAAGTTTGATTTTGATTTGGTTCACCGGATTCGATTGGAGACTTCAATTTCTAGATTTTGGATTGGGGGTTTAGGTTCATTGGAGCAAGGTTGAGTATTTAATTTCATGATTGTGCTAGGATTTTGGATTCGATTTCTGTAACGACCAAGCCACCATTTATGGGTTCGATTTATTAATTCAAGTTCATTCTTTTAAAGCTCCATCATGTTCATTTTTTGTTTGAGTGGTTTGATTTTGATTTCATCTATAGGTAATTTGGTTTTAAATGATTTGTTTTTGAGTTCATCCTTATTTTGGGTTTTGATTTCATCAATGATTTATGGTTTGAGTTTCGATTCATCCGTGATTTCTGAGTTTAATTTCTAGGCATGATAATTGGTTTTAATATGGGTTTGAGTTTCCTTGCATCGATTTAGGCACTGAGTATGATTTGGGGTTTTTTTGATTTTTGTTTAATTTTTAGATGCAAAGTAGGGGAGGTGGTTGTGGGCGATGTTACTGCAGTTGGTGTTGGTGTTGATCTTTGATGGCGGAGGATATAGAAGGGTGGCGGTGGTGTTATGGCAGTGGTGATGAATGGTTGGATTTCTGTGTTTAAGTGGAATTGTCTGACTGCGATGGTAGTAGAAGACAAATGTTGATGGCGGAGGTGCTGATTAGAAGAGTGCATATTTAATAATTTTCTTTAAAACATTAGTAATAAATCAATAATAAATAAAATGAAAAAATAAATAAATAAGGGTAATATTGTCTTTTCATGTTTTTAGGGACGAGTGCAAAATAAATGTTAGGGACGAAACACGTAATTTTGACCAAATCATAGGGATTATTTCAGTAATTTACTCAAAAAAAAAAAACTTAATTACATTTTCTAGTTATAATAATATCTGATCTTTGATTTTATCAAATAAACAAGAGTTACACGTCTACTTGGATTCTAGATCAAATAAGTCTAATGAGTGATAACATATTAATAATGGAGTTTAAAAATATGTATTGACAAAACAGGATATGATATTAAATTATTAATAGTTCAAGCGTCTAACAAGTATTTAAAAAACTTTCCATATTAAAGGGTTCAACACAAATCCGGTAGTCATGATAAATCATATTTAAAACATGAAAAAGAAATTCAAAATGCATCAATCCATTAAAGCATGAATTATAGTGTAATATATATATAACCGGTCAAGAAGAAAGCATTCAAGTTTATGTTCAATAATAACAAAAGCATTATGTGAATTGTGTCAAACACGGGTACATATTGTGGTCAGATCCGACGAACTTTTCAGGCAAGTGGTCAGATCCGACAGTATATACTGCTTCGACCTGTTGTACCTTGGGAACAGACGATGAATCTGTTAAAGAGAATTGTATCAAACACGAGCCTCAGACGATCGGCGTTATAATTCACTAATTATTTATTTTGCAGATTTATTATCGAAAACTAACATCTATTTTCTTTGTTTTTAGGTCTTTAAATTATACATAACTAGTTTATAACCCGTGATAATTACGGTTATAAAATTAATTAAAATTTTATA